CTCCGAGGGCCTGCTCGCCCCGCCCGTCCCCTGGGCCTCCCAGCGCCTAGAAACTCAGTCTGCAGTGTCACCGGGGTCTTTGTTCTCGCGTCCTGGCCTCTAAGTTTCTTTTTTATAAGACAAATCATGTAATATTTGGCTCTTTGTGTCTGATTTATTTTTTTTAATATTATGGTTTCAATTTCCATCCATTTTCCTGCAAATTACATTAGTTCATTCTTCTTTATGGCTGAATAATATCCTATTGTGCTCATTTATTTTTAAGTAGACAAAGGTTACATATATATTATACATGTCATAATATTTTGAAGTACTAAACAATGCCTAAATCAAGCTAATTAACATGCTTTACATCATATATTTAGCATTTTTTTTTTCTTGGTGAGAGCACTTAAAATTTACTCTCTTGGGGATTTTCAAGTATACAGTCACTGTGTCATGCAGTAGATCTCTTGAACTCATTTTTCTAGTCTGAACTAAAAATATTAAATATTTGACCAATGTTTTCCTATATTCTTAACCCCAGTCCCTACACTCTGTTTCTGAGTTCTAGTTTGGTAGATTCCATGCTTGTGGGCTCATGTGGAATTTGTCTTTGTGTGCCTTATTGCACATAGCATGATATCCTCCAGATTCACCTGTGTTGTTGCAAATGACAAGTTTCTTTCTTTTATGAGATGAAATAGTATCTAGCTGTCTACGTCTACCACACTTCTTTTGTTCATTTATCTATGAATAGATGCTTCAGTTGCTTGCCTATCTTGGCTATTGCAGTAGTACTGCATGACCATGGGAATGCAGCTATTTCTTTATCATACCTAGTTCATGTATTTTGGCTGTAGACTCAGTAGAGGAACTGCTAGATCAGATGACAATTCTGTTTGACTTTTTTAGACCGCTCCATACTGTTTTTAATAGTGGTTGTACTAATATACACACCCACCAACCGTGTGCAAGGGTTTCTTCTTCTCTACACCTTTGGCAACATTTGTTATCTTTAGTCTTTTGATAACAGCCATTTTAAGAGGCATAAAGTATCTCCCTGTGATTTTAGTTGGAATTTCCTTGATAGTAAGTGATATTGAGGACTTTGTCATATACCTATGAATCGTTGTATGTCTCCAAGAAATGTCTATTTGTGTTTTTTTCCTCCATTTTTAATGAGATTATTTGTTTCCTTGATATCCAAAAATACTTATAGGAAAGCCCACATATTTTTCCGTGTATTGTTCTATGTTTGTCAAAAATCAGTAGGTGTGTTTGTGTGGATGAATTTTGGGGTTCACTGTCAGTTCAATTGACCTGTGGTCCTATTACCTATATCACACTGTCTTAGTTATAGCTGAATGCTACACATTTGTATCAGGTTGAGTTATTTACTCTACTTTATTTTTCTTCTTCACAGATGTTTTAGACAATCTAAAGCCGAGTATTTGCATATAAATTTTAGAATAAGTTCATATATGTGTATAAAAGACCTTGCCAAGATTTTGATAGGAATTGCAATAAAGCTACAGATCAACTTTTCTCTACAGAGAATGGACATCTTTATTAGATTGAATCTGAATCCACAAATATTGTATGTTTTTGTATTTATTTATGTCTTTGGTTTTGTTTTCTAATTTTCTAATTTTGAGGTTATAGAATCTGTACATGTTTTCTTAGTTTTATACCTAAGTATTTCATTGCTTTGGAACAATTGTAAATGGTAATGTTAGGTTTTTAGTTAAAGAGAATTCTCTCTGAGAACCCTCCTCACAAAAAGGGTTAAAATAGACATAAAAGATATCTGATCATAGTTATTATTTTATTTGATTGTCTGCTTTCTTGTGTGCAGGAGATACAGCTGAGGGATCATGTCAGGGAGGTTGCTGACCAATCACAATCTCAAACTTCAAATAGAAATCTTTGCTCTAATATTTTTGATTCAGTATCTGAGCTGAGTGGTTCTGAAGTCATTCTTCACATGTTTGAGGTTTAATAACCTTTTATTATAAGATAAAATAATATTTTCTTTGTAAATAATGGTGAGTAAAATTAAATTCAATAAGGTGACATATGAAGGTATCTAGCACACAGTAAATGATCAAGGAAAGTTTTTTCTTTCTTTTTTCCTTTCTTTATCCTTCTTCCCTTTCTTCCTTCTTCCCTTCCTTCCTCTTCCTTCCATTCCTGTCCATGCAAATCCATTATGATGGATGAGGACTGTATGTTTCCATCTAGGGAGGGTCACTGTTGTAGCTGCAGCCTGACTAATTGAACCAGGGGATAGTTCCTCTGGGCCCATCCTATCCCTAAATCTTCCTCCTTGCCATCACGTATTATTCTTCTTGATGATGTAATGATGAAGATCATTGAATAATTAAGCTTATTTTTTTCTGTTTAAATGCTTTATACTAAGAAATTCAGTGAGTTTTTGTGGATAAGAAGCCACATTTCGGAGTCTTCATAAAAGGAAGGTGGTCTGTGGTCAGTAATTAGCATGATTAGGGAGACCCAGGGATGCCTCTAAATACAACTGGAACTCTTCATGCTTTGCTTGATTTGAGTGCAGCCCTCAGCACTCAGAAATATAAAATATGAGAGAAACAAGCTCATATTTTGATGCAGAGACTGTCCTGAAGTTCTTGAGTTGAGTGCATAATAACATTCCATTCTAAGCTGGGAGTGAGCCAGTGAGGACTGTCATTCTTCCAGCAGAATCCACCCTATGCTGGAAAGAGCTGTATGTAGAAGCCAGAAGGACGGGGTGCTATTTCTCCGCTAAAATTTTAAATTTAACTGCTGTCCCCATAGAACTGATTATTCTTTTTTCTTTCTCTCTGCTTTGGCAAATACTCATCCAGTTTGTTAGGAACAACCTCCTCCAATCCCCAGTAGTAACTGTGGGCCAGATGTTTGCCTCAGGGGCTGCAGTAGAGCCCCAAAACCATTGAAAGTTCTGGCCGGGGCTACTACAGCCTCTTAATTGCTGTCAGAGGACCAGTCATCCTCACTGCTCAGAGCCTGGAGAGATTTTATTACTCTCTAGCCTCCACTCAGAGGTGTTAAACCAAGGTAGAACTATGGGCAAGGACATACCCAGCCTTAAAGGGTACCACATGATAAAAGGAAGCTTTTTTATTGAAAATCTATACATTTTCTGTTAGCAATTAAAGTGGATCTTTGGAAGTGTATTGACTTAGGATTCAGAGTTACTAGAAATAGAACTTTAAATAGTTATTGGTCTTGGCTTTTATTCTTAATTTTCCTTCAAAGGCTGCTTGTCCTAGTGACACTTTCTGTCCTAAAGTTTTCCCATTTCAAGTCCTTTAGTGGAAGTCATGTGAGTAATAGTATTTAGGGCAGAATGTTAGTCCAGAGGAGTAATATTGCCCCTGCCACATTCCTGCCAAAGGTCTCATGCACCCAGCCTGAGCTCACTTCTTTTGGATGCTTCTGGTGATTACTGCACATGAAACCTGACTACAGTGAGCTTACTCATGCCAGTCACTTCCTCTTCTTTCTCCAGCAAGGGTTGAAAATAGTTCACCATGCAGAGAAGACACTGTCCAGTTTCTGCAAATGGCAGAAGAGCATCAATCCTAAGAGTGACCTCAACCCTGTCCATCATGATGTGGCTGTCCTTCTCACCAGGTACTCCTGTGTCTATGTAGAACTCCAGGGCAGCAAGGTACCCCTGTGTCTGATGGGGCCTGGGGAGGGCAAGCAAGGCCTGCCAGGTATTCATAATCATGAAATTCTCAGTGCTCTGTGCTGGTCTTGCTCTATTGTGAAGGCAGCAGCTACGATCTGTTCAGCTCCTGACTCACACCAGTGGCAGCAGAAGAGCAGTTTAACACACACGCTAATATGACGAAGCTTTCCTGGCTAATAAATGCATCTGCTGACACAGTGTGAGGCTGGGGCTTCTCTTCCTGCCCCATGGCCCCAGCAGTTTTCACCTGAAGAACTAAAAACTCATGTGGGTTCTCAAAGCCTGGCTGGTTTGGTTCTGTGAACCAAAGGAGACAAGAAGCAGGAAACCATTTATTGCTAGAAATGGTGTGCACACAAACCCTGTGAGAAAAGAGCTGCAACTAATTAAAGCTCAGAAATTCATCGGCATTGGTGCAAGTCAAGAACTACTGGTTAAGAGCTTTTCTTTTACTGAATAAAATCAAATGATTAATTAACTACTTTCTCAAAACTCTTTTTGGTGAATGAAATAATTGCTGCCAGTATATGAAGGTACATTTTTATTTAAAAGGTATACATTATTATCTGAGTTCTTAGAAGTCTTCCTTTTTCCAGAATCAGTGAATTCCACAAGATTCCTCCCTCTCTATCTCTATCTCTGTCTCTGTTTCTGTCTCTATCTCTGTCTCTCCCTCACCCCTTCGTGTGTTTGAAGTATTGTCGTTGTAATGGGGCTGTAGAGGTCATTGGTTTGATCTCTGGGTGGGTTGAAGAGACAAATTGTTTTTCTCATGAATGAGTAAAAGCTCTCAGATGAGTTTTCAGCATAGACCTCAGAGAAGTTGCATATTTGAAAAACTTTAGTCACTGCTAATTGTCCTTTCCATATTTAAAAGTTCAAATTAACTTTGGTTTTCAGTGAAATCTCCTATTGTCCAAATCATATAATTTGACTTCCCAAGATCAAGAGGAAAGTAACCCAAAATAAAACATTCACCTTATTTCCTCACATTTTAAGTGTTAGTGAAATTCAATAATTATGAGGTAAAATCAAAATAAGCTTAGTGCTAAATTGCACCCTACATCCATCTTGACTTTTAAATGTTTATTCTAAGCATGCTTTACAAGTGATATTGAATATAAATTTATACATAGATTTTTTTTTCCAGGAGATTTTTCAGCTGTTTCTCTTGGTGTCTAACCATCTCTTTTCTCTGCCTGCAGAAAAGACATCTGTGCTGGTGTCAATCGTCCTTGTGAGACCCTGGGTTTGTCTCACCTGTCAGGAATGTGCCAGCCTCACCGAAGTTGTAACATCAATGAGGACTCCGGGCTCCCCCTGGCTTTCACGATTGCTCATGAGCTGGGGCACAGGTAAAGGGTCAAGGAAGTTGAAATCTTCTTGCTGTGCTCATGAATTGTATCAGTAGAGTTAATGCAAAACCCTTAAGCTGAGTGTTAGCTTTGGATTGCATCGTGTCTTGATAGTCACCTGCTAGACCTCTGTACTTGCATCTGTAAAGTGGGGGTAGTAACACACATCACACTCTCCAGCGTCTCCTCTGCCCTGACCACTTGCACCCATATGTACATCACAGAATCGAGGAGACCACACAGTTTTCTCAGGTAGAATGGCGTGTGCAGGGGCAAGGAGAAAAGTGATTTTTGAATTAACTCTATCAATTCAGGAATAACCTCAGATCAGTTCTTATGAAATGATCATCTTGATGTCACTAAAAAGACACAAACTTAACATGTTTTGAGTCTCTATACCATTGTGTTTTTCCGTGTGTCACTAAACCCTCTTCATCTCTCTATGAAACAGATACTACTGTTAGCCCCATTTGTATTATACGTACTAGAGGAGAATACTGAATAAATGAACTAAAAACTGTCATACACTTGGAAAGATCGTTACATGAACACTAATTAACAGGATATCCAAATTCTTGCAAAAGCATGCAGATTCGTTTAGATGAATCTCTTGAATGCAGGTTTGAAAATGTTTGAGTGAAGCATAATGAGAATTTTGGATTTGGCAGGTGTCAGAGGTTTCCATGGAGGAAAGATCTTGGCTCATTTGTAACTTCACTTGTCAGTATATTTGCTAATAAATAAATAAGAGCACATCATAGTCCTTGGAAGCTCAGAGTGGGGAAGCTCCATGGAGAGCTAAACCATATATCCTTGCCTGTCACGATCCACCAGCCTGGATCGTCTTCCTATACAGGAGGATGTCCTGAGTAGGGCATATTCTGAGTGCATGCCTAGAAACAAGGCCTGGCCTTTCCGGTTAGGGATCACTCACCATTTTTCTCACATAACAATTGAACTTTTCAGAAATAATTTTATCTCCATTACAAAGCCAGAGTCTTGACTCCAGAGAAAGTGAGTGCTTGATCTGCCTTTCCCATCAATGATATTATGACCCTGTATGATATTACAGGTAATATCTCTATACCTGCTTTCTCATCTGTAAGATCAGTAGGTTGAACTATACCATTTCTCAGGTGCTGTGATTTGCTGGGTCCTCACCAAAATGTCCTGGAGATAAATGTGAAATAGTTTAATATCCTTAGTTCTGAAAAATTGAGAAGAAAGAGATAAGAGACTTACTTATTAAATACTAATTGAAAACTTGGGGGAGCAGGGACAGCATGTGATCCTGATAAGGCCAAACTAAAGTCATTGGCATGCTGATAATAGAGCTAGCAAAATGACATTTTTATGTCGCTTTGCAGAGAAGGACTGTTCCCGCTCATTGGTATTAACAGCACCTGCTGGCCATGCAATACCGATTGAATATAACTGATCAAACTGAAAAGGGATTGCCCACGTGCTTTTCATCAGTGTCATACCCAAGCTAAAGAAAAGTTGAGAAGACTTAGCTTGATAAAAACATATTTTCAATTGTTCACTTCTTGTTCAAAGGGTGGATTCTTTACATTCTCCATTTCCATCTGATATTGTAAAGAGAAATATGCTAAGCAGGTCCCCCCAAAGCACTGTTCTCCTGTTTTGAGGCAATTATTGGCATGAGTATCTCTGGGCATGGATATATCACTTTTGTGAGGAAGGTCACCTAAATAAGTAAAGACAAGGGCAAGTATGATTTTTTCCTTTAGATTCCAAAATTTCTTCAATAATGTTAGAACACTGTAGTAATATGACTTGAACACAAGGAGTTGAATGCTTGAAAACAAAGTTAAAGAAATTCAGCAGTTATCAAACATGTTGGCTTGTTTATCAGACTAGAACTGTACACTATCTGAATCAGGTTGATGCTATAATAAGCAACATTAAGCTGGATATAAGTTTGGAGCTCGGTGAAGCATTTTGCATATAAGACTACTAAAAAAATTCCTTACCCTGTGATTATGTTGTTATTGTTATAGCTATTCTGTTTAAAATTATGCAGGAAACAATGAGAATCAAATTCTAAGAAACAATCTTTTTTAAATAAAAAGAAATGAATTTTCTAAGTAAAAGAACTTGAGAACACTTAAAGTGGAACTAATGTGCATTTTTTGAGTTTATTCAGAAACTGACCCTCCCTGCGACAAAGCCTTGAAAGCAATTCATTTATACAGAAGGTAAAGGAAATGCCTGTAAGGAAGGAGAATACTGAAATAGGAAGTGAAGGGAAGCAATAAATGGTTAATTGTCTCAGCTTCCCCTGTGGGCAACTGGACCTTAATCCCATAGGCAAACTCTGAAAAAAACAAAGCAACATATTTCAGAGTTATCTCACATAAGGAAAGAATTGGGTTATTTTATACAATGCCCTTAAGTCATTGGTCAAAGGCTGCAATTCCCTTGCACCTCAGGTTTAATAGGGAAAGACAGAGCAGTCTAACTTGGCCTCAGAGAAAACCCCCATGCAGAGAGATGCCAATAGCGACAGCGGGAAGTGAGCTGGTCATGAGCCTGCACCCAGGCAACAATAGCATCTGCTATAATCTTCCTTCGGGGCAGTAAGTGTCACCCCTTACCAAATTCTGAGTCAGGAAAACGTGGGATACTTTTCCCTATCTACTTTTCCCTGTCTACTATAATGACTTTCTAAAAAATAATGGCAGATTATTAAAAATTATTATTAAAATGATTATTAAGATAATGCACCATTATTTTTTAAAATAACATGATAACCTTAATTGATATAAAAAATCATTTGACAAAACTCAACACACATTCATGATTTTAAAAACTTTCAGAAATAAAGAGAAATTTCCCTGTCTTGATAAAGAACATCTAAACCAAATTTACTATTCAGCATAGCATTAAAAGTTTTAGCCCAGTATAAGAGATTGGAAACAGGAAATAAAATCATCCCTATATGAGCTGGGTGTGGTGATACATGTCTATATCCCTAGCTGTGCAAGAGTTTGAGGAAAGGCCACAAGTCTGAGACCAACCTGGGAATATACTAAGATCCTGCCAAAAAAACAAATAAACACATAAAAACAATTCACATCTGAAGATAGGCTTATTTAGAAAATTCCATTGAACACACATACACATACACACACACAGAAAAAGTGAGTTTATCAGCAGGATGCAATATAAACCTATAAAATCAATCATACTTCCTTATCCTAGCAATGAACAGGTAGACAATGAAATTAAAAATTTAATGCCTTTTATAATGACTCAAAAATTTGATTTTAGACTTTTGTCTTGCAATCCTACGAGAGAATAAATTTCTGTTGAATTGCCAATTTTATTTTTATGACATCCCTAGGGAACTAACATATCATACATCCATTAAAGCACTAGTATCTAGAATATAATAACTTTCCAAACCAATAGTTAAAAAATACATTAGAAAATGGACAAAAGACTTAAATAAACATTTCACCAAATGAATCCACAGACAACAAGCATAATAATGTTTAAAATCATTAGCTATCAGAGAAATGCAAAATAAAACCACAATTATATATCATTACACATCTATAAAAATGACAACAATGAAATTAATCTGATGCCTAATGCTTCCAACGATATAGAGAAAATGGATTGTTCATACATTACCAGTAAGAATGTAAAATGGTACAAGCATTAGCACTATGGAAAAGGATTTGGCAGTTCTTTAAAAACTGAGCCTGCAATTGCCACATTACCCAGTAATTATACTTCCAAACTTGTATCTGGGTGAAAGTGAGATTTATGTTCACACAAAATGTTGACATGAATGTGTCTAGAAGCCTAAGCATAGTATCCTCAAACTGGAAACATCCCAGGGCTTGTTTCTATCCCTCAGGCTGAGTGGTTAAAAAACTGCATTGGATGCAGAGCCTGGGATATCGGTCAGCTACAGGAAGGAAGAAGCTTCTAGTATATACAACAACACTGACAGGTTTTCCAGGAATTATGGATAGTAAGGAAAGGCTGTCCCAAAGAGTTAAGTACTATATGATTACATTTATATAGCTTTATGGAAACAAGAAAATTCTGGAAATGGAGAGCATACTAGGATTTAAGGAGGGAATAGGAGAGGGAAAGAATGAGTGTAGCTGTGCAGTGTAGTATGAGGGATCTTACAGAGCCTAAAATGCCCTGTGTTTTGACTATATTGATATCAGTATCTTAATTGTGATATTGTAGTATAGTTTTGGAAAATATTACATTGGGAAAATGGGTAAAACACGCACAATTACCTCTACGTACTGCTTCTTACAACTACATCTGAATCTGCCATTAGCTCAATATTTAAAAGGGTCATTTTTGTCTAATGATAGATAAAAGGTGTAAGAGGGAGAGGACAGTCATAAGGGTGAGACATGGAAGTGATAGAAGGCAATAGAATAGAAATCAAAATAAAACCAAAGGTGTGAAACTGGGGAAAGGGTGGAGAAAGGAGATGATGGAAAGTGAAAATGGTCAAAGTAAGTTATGTACATGTAGAAATCTGCCCAAATAAAATCCATGAATAAAAATTTTTAAGTTGAAAGAAAAACCTAAAAAAAACTGAGAAGTTCAATTTTTAAGAAAAAGCATCAGACCATGTACAGATGACCTAAAAAATTTTTAAGAAAGCCTTTTCAATGGAACAAAAAGAGAAAGATTTATTTACTGCTAAGAAAATCATGAAAGAAAACATAAAAGCTTGATTCTGAATAATAGAATAAAATGCTTTCATAGGACACCAAAACAAAGGACAGAATACTTTAGGAGATTCCTGAGAAGCATTTCCATATAGCAAAGATGCTTCTGAGGTGGACAGCTCCTTTTTTTTAGCTGTGTAGTTCTAATTAGCTGTGGAGCACACTAAGAAACACCGGGAAGATCAATGACATGGCCTGAGGTGGCTCAGAAGAAGGGAAATATGAAAAACTAATATGTATAGAAGACTCTCATTACCATTTAATAATAAATACACTTCACTGCGCCTTGGAAACTTGTTTGTTTTATCACTCACTACTTACAATGCAAAAGAGAAACTAAGCTGATATAGACACTGTAGCATAAGCAGATAATTTCAATATTTTTGGAAGGAACTTTAAAAATACATGCATGTGTGCCCTCAAATATATTATTAGGCTCCTAAGTGAGTTATCAGAAATGAAACTAGAGGGCTTGGGATTTAGCTCAGCGGCACAGTGCCTGCCTGGCAAGAGCGAGATCATGAGTTCGATTCCCAGTACCGGAAAAAAAAAAATAAAGCAAAACAAAAACAGAAATGAAACTAGAATTCAGAAAGAAAACTTAAAAACTGAGACTTAGCATCCTTGCCTTTTAAGTAGTGGAAATACCATGATATTTATCTACTCGAATTCCCTGCCCATCTTCTAGATTGTGATATATTTCATTAAGAGCTTTGCTCATTGTACATGCAAAACTAGAATTTTAATAAAGAACTTAGAAAAGCTCTCATTCACACTTTCATGGCTGTCATTCCCTGCTGATAGGCAAGCCTTCCTTAAAGGAGTTGGAACACCAAAGACTAAACAAAACTCATCACCCTTTGAGTTGTTTCAGAATGTACGGTGTTTTCTACTCCACATGCCTCTTCACAAGTCAACCCAAGTAGCTTCCTGAAATAAGTCTTTCCGCACTATGCTTCTCTCACCCACTGTATCACCGAATCGCTGGTCCCACAGCACACGGCTTATGTACTTATCTGGAACTAGAAGACACAGGGTCAGTTGCACTGATTTTAATTCTTTAGGTAAAATACAGCTGGGGGGAAATGAGTTGATGGATTTCAACGTTTTCAAGGAAGAAAATGAGATTGGGGGGAACTTACCATTTTATGGAAGCTCGAGGTCACACAACATATAGGACACCATCACATGGCTTGTGTACTGGAATATCCTTTTTGTGTAGTTTAGAATGTTTTACTAACTACTGAACAGAAGTTTGTGGAGTGTTTCATAAGTCTTGTAGGACTGGATTTTTAGAAGTATGGGGATGACCTGCTCACGAGGCTATCATTGAATCTGTTTCTAGGTAGGTGGTAAAAAACTTTGTAGATTAATTCCCTGAGGCCTTTGTGACTTTTAAATTCATGTGGAATGTGATTAGAGTTTGTAAGTAGGTTGATAATACTCTAATGCATAAGATACAAGAAAATCTCTAAATCCCCCCAAAACTGTTTTCTGTGAGAGATGCTCATACTGATCAAAAGATTTAATTAAAGTTCAGTGTGAGCTTCCTGGTTACAGGGCTTGAGTTTCACTATGAAGAGTAAACGGTTATACTTTCTTGTATTTGGATTTGGGGATTTGAGGCAATGTCATCAGATTGGGAGGTTTCCATGTGCAGGCAGGCTCTTCTGGAGAGAGATCTTACAGGAATGTAAGAAGGCTTCTTGAGAGTGTCCTAAGAATGCAGCTTCTAAATGGGTCTCATGGGTGAACTTCTTTCTTAAGCATTCTCTCTCCACGGTTGATGGTTAAGGACTTTAAGGTCCATCAAGGCTGTAGTGGGAATTCCTGAGCGGGGTGGTAAACAGAGCAGCACACCAAGGACATCACTGGGTTAGAAGCACAAAGTTATCCACTGAAGACCCCTTTCACCACTAACAATTTGCATGGCCCTTGACAAATCCCAGACTAAACCTCCTCATGTCAAAAAGGAAAATAACATAGACAAAGTTAAAACATATAATTAAAATTTTCTGTCATTTGCAAAGCTTTTATTAAGGCACTTTGCTGTGTACTTTTCAAACCCTACTCCATTCATACCACACCATGCAAGGGCACAGTGACAGCTGCCTCATTTTCTGGGAGGGGAAAATGAGGCAAGTTTTGGTAACTCATAGAACAATGGACAGCAGAGGTGGAATTCAAATCCAGACTGTCTGTTGTCAAAAACCCTGCTCTCACCCACTGAACTCTAAGCTCTCTATCAGGACTGCTACTGGGGAGTCTAGCAGTAGCAGAAAGAACTCCATTCCCTCAAACCTTTGGCCTTTTGGTGACTCCCATGGGCCTCCCCCTTCTTTAAATTATGATGAGAAAGGAGAACAAAGGTTTTGTTTCTTATACTGTGGTTGCTACAGCAGGAGGAAGCAAGTATCTTGGGACTGAATTTTTTCCCCCAATTGTAGATACACAGAAGGCCAGACTGAGGGCTCCTGATTTTTGCCAAGCAGCAGCTGCATATATGGGTGAAAGGCCCAAGTACAGTGTTTCCTGCACTTTTCAGTTCAAACTTAGCTATTCCCTTCCGACATCAAAGTCTCACTTTACAAACAGTTCCTTTTCTCCAAAAGTAGCTCTCTCTGGGTTGTTATAACATTGGAGTAATTGGTTTTTCTCCTGGTTAATGCCTACCTGCTTGTGATTCTTGTGCTTTGCACCAGCTTTGGCATCCAGCATGATGGCAAAGAAAATGACTGTGAGCCCATGGGCAGACATCCGTATATCATGTCCCATCAGCTCCAGTATGATCCCACCCCGCTGACCTGGTCCAAGTGCAGCAAAGAGTACATCACCCGCTTCTTGGAGTAAGTGACAGTACATTTCTTTACACCCTCTCTTCGGTCTCTTTACAGAGCAGGTTGTGTTGAGTTTTATGCATAGAAGCTGATGCATACAAAAGGCTCAGTTGCATCTCTCAGGTCATGGTATGGCGCTGGCATTACAGGAGTGGACTCCACTTCTGCTTTCTAACCCTGAAATTTGGGTGAACTCTGCCCACTAGCCACAGCCTAACTGCTCCTGCCCCAAGGTAACTTTTTAAAATTGGATTGTAAATTAAAATCCTGGAGACTGGCAAGAACAAGCAGGACAAGTGAGAAGAAGCATTCAGCCAAACCCTATTGAGGGTAAGATGATGATTGCTTAATTTTCCGACTGCTTATATTTTCTAGATAATAATTATAAACGTATAGTGTTTGATAAGATTTGTATTTTTCTATTACCAGCTTTCCCTTTGAGCCCAAAATGTTCTCTGTCTTGTAAAAGTAAAATTGTCTTTAAGGGCAAAAGGCCGAGAGGGACGGATGAATGAAATGCTGAAGGAACTCGTAAGCAACTGCTCTCATTTCTGTTAACTTGTTTGCAGCCGAGGCTGGGGGTTCTGTCTTGATGACGTCCCCAAAAAGAAAGGTTTGAAGTCCAAGGTCATTGCCCCCGGAGTGATTTATGATGTTCATCACCAGTGCCAACTCCAGTATGGCCCCAATGCTACCTTCTGCCAGGAAGTAGAAGTAAGTGCTGCTTATCTTGGTGCCTCCCATAGGTATAAGCAATGAGAGCTCCAGCATACTGAAGGAAGAGCCATAGAAATACTGGAAAAGCTGAAGATCCAGACCCAAAACTGGAAGCTTTTTATATATGTTAAGGTATAAGTGTATTTGCATTTATGTGGCAAACTGAGTTGGACAAGGACCAAACCAAATGCAATGGTTAGGTTTAATGTTGAATACACACACACACACACACACACACACACACACACACACACAGAGAGATGGAAATATATATGGATATATATATATATGGATATATATATATATATCCATATATATCTCCAACTTTCTACCCCACCTAGGCTCTAGGTATCATATCCAGTATTCAAGTTATCATTAAATCTAAAATCTAGATCACTAGTGTTGCTCCTCTACGTTAACAGAGGCAAACTTTAAATAGGTAAACACTTCACTGCATTTTTAGCTTCTAAGGAGTAACCTTTATTTCTTACCAACTCAAGAATGCATTTATTCATAGTTTTAGAAGCTGTGTAGAGGATTTCTCAGGGTGTCCTGTTGCTTATTGGAACGAGACCACTCTTGCTATCTGTGTTTAATTCTTCTGTTAATACTGTTTCCCTGGACTGAACAGCCTCCATTCCATGCAAATGCTGGGTTCTCTGCCACCTCCAGAACTTTGCATGCTCTGGTTTCTTTGTGTCATGTCACCCTTCCTACTTGTCATTTGGGTCTCAGTTTAAATATCACTTTAAATCTTACTTAGCATTTTTATAATCTGCATTATATAGTTTCTTATTTACTTATCTATGTTCTCTTTTACTATATTTTAAGATCTCTGAGAAACTGACACTCAGCAGTGTGTATTGCTTTTGTGCAAGTTTTAAAATCTCACAACTGTTTTCCAGAACGTTTGCCAGACACTGTGGTGCTCAGTGAAAGGTTTCTGTCGCTCTAAGCTGGATGCTGCTGCAGATGGGACCCGCTGTGGTGAGAAGAAGGTGAGGTGTCAGCCTGAGGAAGGCAGGCAGGAGGGTGGCAGGCCTAGAGTTCTTGGGAAGGATTAGGGAGAAGGCCTGGGGGAAGGGGTGAAGCTCTCTCTAGGTAAAGAGCAGGGAATAGAGGTCACATGATCAGACAGCCAGTAGAGATAATTCTGCTTCCACGAGGCTCTTGAGCCTTTGCTGGGAGCAAGTAGTCAAAGAGAGGCTGATTCCAACTGCACACTTTGCTTGTGAATCATCTGCCCCATCTTCCCCTAGTGAACTTCTGTGGAGGTTCTGGCCAACAATATCTGCCGAGCCTATTATTGGCCTTCCTTTTAACATGTTTCCCTCCCACACCGAGAGCCATGAAGAGCAAGCCAATATCTTCTTCCTTCCAAACATGTCCAATTTGGGAAATTTAGAATCTTCTTTTTCACTTTCTGATATTGTTGATTTTTTTAAAAGTTCTTCCTACTTTACAAAGCAGGAAGGTAATGCACCCAAGAACCCAGAGGCATTAAATATCCTCCAGACTGAGAACAGGGCAACTCCTGCCGCTCAACTAACCCAGTTAGGGGAAGGGAATATAGCTCAGTGGCACAAGCAAGCACTTGCCTGGCAAGCGCAATGTCCTGAGTTCAATTCCTGGTACCAAAAAACAATAGTAAAGAGCAAGAAATTTTGGGGTTGGGGATTTAGCTCAGCGGCACAGTGCCTGCCTGGCAAACATGAGGTCATGAGTTCAATTCCCAGTAGCAGGAAAAAAAAAAAAAACTAATCCAGTTAGGTATGCTGTGAGCCCATGGTTTAGGAGTTTAGTGATCAACTTTATGCATCTTCAATGTGGCATGATGATCACTGATATTACAGAACTTGGTTAAAATACCCAATACTCAGAAATATTGAAAGAAAAGAGACTCTAGTGGATAAAATACCCCAAATACTTCAGGAAATTTGGCAATTTCCAACAACTGAGTTTTATTTCCTTTGTTTTAATTTTTGTTTGTTTACTTTTCCTGCTTCATAAGAAGATAAGGATCTTACACCAGAAATTAAGTCAGCTAAACAACTAAGATATTAAGCACGTTAAGTTAACATCTGTAATGGCTGATACACTGTGTCAACTTGAGAAGTTTAGAAGCTTAGGGAAGCGGCTCAGCAAGGGCCAGGGTCTTCACTTTGTAAACACCCTGAGCCTGTGCAAGAGGAGGGCACCAATGTTAAAGACGCACGTTAGGGTGGAGAGTGTGCATACACTATAAAGCAGGAAAAGAGGCTTGTTCCCCTGCTTTTGTTCTTGCTGCTTTTGCTGTCTTCTGCTGCCTTCAAACGTTGTCCCTGTGCCATGCCTTGGAGCCAGCTGATTACGGACTGAAACCTCCAGGAACTGTGAGCTAACTTAACCGTTCCTTCCTTAATTTGGGGTGTTGGGTATTTTGTCTCAGCAATGAGAGAAAAGTAACCAAGATAACATCCTTTTCATAGCGAGACTTTCTTGAACAAAGTAGTTGGTTGATTTATAGTCCAGGATGCAATCGGCAGATCAGGCTCCAAGCCTGACTGTGACCAGAGACTGTGAAGTTCTGTTCATTCCTGAAAATCTTTCATTCTATAAACTGGGACTCTAGGGAAACTATTTTATAAGCTCCTCTTTGTTTTGCATCAGATATGTGACTGTAGGAAGCCTGCTTTCCTGGGGAGGACTAAGTTTAGACTTCAGGGCTTTGGGCTCAGCTTGCTGGGGGGCTTCCTGACACATTCTTCTCCCCGCTCTTCCTGTTGCAGTGGTGCATGGCTGGCAAGTGCATCACAGTGGGGAAGAAACCAGAGAGCATCCCTGGAGGCTGGGGCCTCTGGTCACCCTGGTCCCACTGCTCCAGGACGTGTGGGACTGGAGCCCAGAGTGCAGAGAGGCACTGCAACAACCCTGAGTAAGTCAGCCACGCATATTTCCCTCCCTTCCTTCCACAGGTGCCTCAAAACCAGTCTCAGTAACCTTACGCCTCTTGAGGAAAATTAAATGGGTTTCCAAAAACAAAAAGGAACCAGAAGATTCACAGAAGACTGAAAGAAATGGTTCTATTTTGTCTTGGTTTTACATTGGAATCTTAATAATAATTAGATAAGTATGCTGATTCCATTGTTTGGGGAAATGAAACAAGTTTTTTTTAAATGTATACTCTATGGGAAAGTCTTTAGGAAAGTAGGCAGTTAAGTCCTTTGAGATAACTCCACTCTATCAGTAAAAGATTTGTTATACACAATTTTGGTGATAAGACTGTGGCTTGTTTTCAATCATGATGAATGAATAATTTTATAAAAATATTATTCCTCCTTATAGTTAAGCATGTTGTTGAGGATATGCATTTTTAATGATTTAGAAAAGCATTTTGTAAACTTTAGAGTTACAGAGTAGCCTGTTGTAGATTCTGTAGAACTTATTTCACAAGTATTTTTCTATTTTTCAATCAAATTGCTTAATTTTTCAATAAGCTTGTGTAATGATAACATCTATGTGTTAAGTTTACATTGGCTTATTTTCCAAATATATATTATGTTCTTAGTTTTATTACTTCCTGGTATACTAGTTCTCAAGTGCGTATTTTTATACATTGCATATAGATTGCCCCCTGGATGTAGAAATTATGTTCTTTTGCTTAGATTTGCCTTATCCTTGAATAGTAAGAATCACATATTTAAAAAATCACATAAAAATAGTTACAGTTCCCTCAGTGTCTCAGTTCTAAATAGTGTTTCTCTTTCATTAATAAATATATTACTGTATATGACTAAATATATTTGCAGATATTATATAGATACCATATTTATACTGTATCAAAAATATAATCTTCTAAGGGTTAAGAATTAACAACTGTAGAGTTCAATACAGTACCTACTACATGATCAATTGTCAATGAGTAGTATCTATTATGATATGATTATTATTTACCATACATATAAGGATACACTGAAGCATCCTGGTACAAGTTGTTTTAAATTTTTTTCCTTTGAGAAGTCCCTGACTTCAAGAATTCAAGAAGAATAGTTCAAATAGGGGTCCAGGGATATAGCTCAGAGGTGCACACCTGCCTGGCAGGCACAGGCCCCGAGTTTGATTCCTGATACCCCATCCCCCCCAAAAAAAGAATAGTTCAAATAGAATAGTCAATTATTAGAGAAAATTTTTATTTTGTAGAGGTTTTTTCTATTTGGTCAGAAATGTGATGCCTGTTTAGAGATGAGGACATACAGACAATTTGCCCTGAGACGTATTATTGCCAGTTCTGTGAATTCTGCCACCGTCACCCCTCAGTGTCTTGGGAGGATGGCAAGTGACTATTGATTTTGGTTACAGTTCGTATAAATCTGCCCAAGTCATAGTAAGAAAGATGGGGAGGGAGATACAGACTATTGCATGAATATTCAAAACAAACAAAGAACAGCAGAACCGCACAAAAATTGTACCTAGAATGTAGTTAGTCTATGAAGATTCCAGATCTCTGTCTTGAAGGGCTTCATGGTCACCCAATTCTGCACAGTAGATAAGAGATTAGGCTGCAGATTAAGGCAAATAAGGGTACAAAGCTTGCCTTTACCATGACCAGCTGGGCACATTGGGTAGATGTGCTGGCTTTATGTGCCTCTAGCATACAATTCATGTCAACTGGTCATTTGGCACATTTTCTGCCTTTGCCCTGAGACTCTTCTTCAGGACATCCTTTCCAGGAATCCTTTCCAGTGAGTTTTACTTCCGTGGCTGTCCTGTTCCTCCAAACTCTCGTTGTACTAATAGTCAAAGATAACAGTTTTTCTCCTCGTTTTTCCCTCATCTCTAGTTTGAGCACATAGTGGCATATAAATTCTAGCTGATTATTATTCACAAAACTGAAAGATGCTTTCACTTAGTGAATTCTTACTCTCTGTTAACTGTGATATTAGATCTTTATGTGCATACTCTCACTTGATTTTTATAACTTGTGAGATAAAAATTGCTATGTTCACTTCATAAATTTAAAGAAAAGAGGAGCAGGGAAATAAAATAACTTCTTCATAGTCATCTAACCACTAACATGGTAAAAGACAAATTCACCCTTCAGGATTTTGGCCCTATTATGCTGCTCTACCATAGTAGTCCAAACCCTCCATTCAAACGCAGTAAGGTGGAATCAAGAAGACTTGTGCGGACCACCTGGGAACCTTCCCAAAGGACACAGAGTTTCTCCACTTCTCTGTGAGAGATTTCAGTGTACTAACTTCTGCTTTAAATGCCCTTAATGGGAAGATTGTTGCATCCCCAAGTGCACTGTGAAGGAAATAAAAAGTTGATAACATGTTCTAAAGTAAGATTACTCATTTACTGAGTATTTAGATCTTTCTACACTCAAAGTATTACTTAGGTACCTTAGGTGACATGCAGCATGGATTGGGTCATCAAAAACTATTATAGAAGTAAGTTTATTTTTATAGCATTTTTAATTATTTTTATTAGTATATGTTTGAAGGATGCAATGTTCGCATTCCTCGTGGGAAGTTGGCACATGTATATAACATCTTAAATCCCTTTTTTCATCCCCTTTCCTTTCCCTCCCTCTCCTCTTCCCCCATCTCTTGATCCCCTTCTTATTTGAGAAAGATCTATCTCCCTACTTCTTGTTACCTATCTTTAATTTTGCTGTTTATATTTTGAGTTTTTCATATAAGGGGAGCCATGAGATATTTAAGCTTGTATATCTGATGTATTTCACTTAACATTATGGTCTCAAGTTGCATTCATTTTCCTAAAAATGACTCAAGTTTATCTTTGTGGCAAAGTAGTACTCCATTGTGTGTAAATAGCATATTTTCTTTATCCATTCATCTTTTGATGGGCATATAGGCTGCTTGGAAGATTTGGCTATTATGAATTATGCTGCTATAAACATGGGTATACATGCATCTGTAATATATCTTTAATACTTTTGGGAAGATACCTAGAAGGGAAATAGCTGGGTTAAATGAAATTTCTAGTTTTAGTTTTTGAGAAATCTCCCTACTGATTTCCTCAGTGGTTGTACTAGTTTACATTCCCCTCTCTTCAGCCTCAGTGGCATTTGTTATTTGACGTTTGATGGTGGCCATTTTTTCTAGAGTAAGATGGAGTCTGAGTGTTGTTTTAATTTGCATTTCTCTAATGGCCAGCGATGTTGAACAGTACTTAATTTATTTACTGACTATTTATTAAAGTATTAAACATTATGTCATATATTTCTTCTGTAAAGTGTGTATTTATTTCACCTGCCAACATTTATTGCGTCTTTTATATTGGAGATCTAGTTGTTTTGAGTTCTTTATATAGTATGATTATTAGTCCTCTGTCTGAGAAATAAATGAAAATTTTTCCCCATTCTGTAGGTTGTCTCTTCACTCTGTTGATTGCTTCTTTTGCTGTGTAGAACCCTGTTAATTTGTTATGATCCCACTGGTTGATTCTTGGTACTATTTTCTATGCAACCAGAATTCTATTCATAAAGGCCTTGCCTATGCATATGTCATCAAGAGTTCTACTTATTTGGTCTTCCAGCAGGTTGCGTTTCTTTTATTTGTTTTTTTTGTTTGTTTGTTTGTTTGTTTGGTCTTTTTGAGACAGGTTCTCACCTGTATGAAGTTCAGGCTGGCCTTGAACTCACTTTTGTAGCCCAAGCTGGCCTCGAACTCACACCCTGCCTCAGCCTCCCAAGTCCTGGGATTACAGGTGTGTGTCACTATGCTCGGCTATGTTTCTGTCTTAACACTTAGTTCTTTGATCCATTTTGATTTCAGCTTAGTACATAGTAAGACTGGACTTGATGCTGAACCTACTGGGTGACATGAAGGTTGTTTAAACAGGAAACTAAACTAGTTAAGACAATCTAAAAAATTACCCAGGTAATACTCAATACTTTGGATTGAATGAAGAAAAAATAGGCAAAGGAAGACAGGAATGGAAACAAGTATTGGGCTTGTTTGGTGACTGTGGGATTGAGGAAGCAAAAACAAATATAAAAATACAATTGGTAGCCAGGGACCTGATTCACTATGGGGCTCAAGGGAGGCAAAGAATGAACAATCTTGAAATCTGAGCACTATTAGCTTGCTAAATAGGAATCAAAAAAGACACAGATTTTGAGAGGAAAACAATGTATTTCTTTTCAGCAAATATTTCCATACAAGTAGAAAAGATATACAGGTTATACAGGTAGAAAAGATTACAAATGACTTCAGAACAGGCAACCATATATTTAGAACTGAAATGCTGGTGAGCAACACACAAACACAATGTGTGAAATTGGAAGGACTTATTTAAAAGGTGAGTTTGAGAACAGAGACTAGCACGGTTCGGCAAGGCAAGGCATGGCCAGACTTTTAAAAGAACATATTGGTTGTTCAGAGAATTAAAAGAATAGCTTGTCTATTTCATTTCTAGACCGAAGTTTGGGGGAAAATACTGTACTGGAGAAAGAAAACGTTATCGCTTGTGCAACGTCCACCCCTGTCGCACGGATGTGCCAACATTCCGACAGATGCAGTGTAGCGAATTTGACACCATCCCCTACAAGAATGAATTCTACCACTGGTTTCCTGTTTTCAATGAAGGTACGTAGCTGTATAGTACATCTCAGATCTAGGAGCACATTTCTGTGTCAGAGTTTCTGTGATGCCCTGTTAAGCTCAACAAAGAGAAGTAGAACTAGCAGGAGTTTTATATTTTAGAAGATAGTATCCCTAGCGTGGTAAAGTTGATGAGTAAATGTTGAAGGTTGAATATATTCTGTTCTGCTCTGTGGGAGATGAAGAGAAGTTTATCAGACAAAATGCTTTGCTTCGAGACAAGTAAGGTGCAATTCAGTGGTAAATGGGATGTGTAGATACTCAGGTACTAATTGCTTATTGATGAGCATGTGGAACTGTCTGTGATTTCGGCAAAAATTCAGAACAAAAGACCATTATGAGTTTGGAGCAATTTCAAAGAGGATTCCAAGGAAGCAGTGGATGATTTTTAAGAATGGGTCATATTTCTACTGAAAGAAAAAAAAAAGGAAGCATTCAAAGCCATTCCAGGTGGGAGAAGAATAACATGAAGAAAGGCAAGATAATAGGGATGCCTTCATCAAAAATGAGCTAGAGCAAGCCCTGGGCAAGAAATTCATGCTTCATAGGTACAGAGCAAGAGGACAAGGATAAAAATCAAAATCAAGTATCTAAAGAATGCATGTCAGGGACCTAACTGAGGTCAAGAATGTTAATAGCAAGTTTAGCAAAACTACCACTGTCAGAACCAGTTACACATCCTCCCCTGACAGTGAAGAAGAGTCTATGATCATTAGTTACAGGCTAACAAGAGAAGCCATCATATCTGTACTATGTGTCATTATTAGGGTGAGTAATGGAACAAGAAAGATTTTTCCTGAGCTAAGGAGATCCAAGATAATACATTAAAAAATAGCTCGTCAAATTTTTCATGATTTGTAACTTCCTCTATTAAGATCATTATCCAAAAATATTGAGCCATCCTGTTTCAGCAAAATTGAAAGTGCAGCATTTGATTCAATTCCATTCACTTACCTGAGCTTCCTTTCAGAGGATTAATCAGACAGGATGAGGGTGAGAGTTCACCAGCGGATTAGTTTTAGTGCTTTCATCTAATGGAATTACAAATGGACCCAAAAGCTTTTGAAAGCTAAAGTGGGGGGATCACATGACATGCATAAAAGAATGTGTCAGAGCAGATGGATAAATGTGAGACACAGATAATATCCAGTGCCATAGAGGTGATAAAATCTGTAGGATTGACCTTTGGAACAGAAAATCTCTTACGATTACTGCTGAGAATTAATATCACCCATTACCACCGTTAACCTAAAACAAAGCCCAAAGAAAGAGGGTAAAGGAAAGCAGGATTTTTAAAATTTTTTTATTTTAAAGAGAGTAGTAAAATAAAGAACAATAGCAAAATACCAGCATCACAGACATAAACAAAACAAGGCAAGACCATTAAAAATGATACAGGGTTTCAAAACAAAATGATAAGAATTAACAGTGGTTGTTACATTATATATTGTTATCTTCAACTAAATTTCTCAGGTTATCAGATGTAATAATGGAAGACTGTTCAAACCATTAAAGAAAATAAAAAAGTAATTATTAGAAGAACATTAGAGGCGATACAGAGTTTCACTAGACAAGATGGCAGGAATTCACCAATGGCTGTTCTATTGCATATTGTTGTCTTCAAGTCAGTTGCTCAGATTACCAGATATAAGCATGCAAACTTGGTCAAAACATAAAAAATTTTAACCATTAACTGTTTCTTTCAATAAACCACCAGACTCATAAGTGAAATAAATCAGACCCACATAGGAAGCAGCATTTTAAGCTCAGCCTTAAAACTGTGTACACAGAACCCAAACTCCAACTTGCAATGGCTGCTTCAAGCACAGGTTTCTGTCTGGCCTTAGGCACACGTGAGCTCTCCAAAGTCACAGAGGTGGCTCTGTGATCTGTTCTTGTTTCCCTATGGTGATTTACTAGATATTTCTAGGACTATGTAGACCACTGCACTTATATTCAACAAACATTTCTGTGCAGTGCTCATTATTTAAACTGTCTAAACCTAGAGGATGACTAGCCCTATACTAGGGAAAAAGGAAAGGGAGAAGTTTCAAAACAAAAACCTTTCTTTGTGGAGATGTGTCATGATTATCACAGAGAAAAGGAGACAATTTGACATTTATTGTCTGAGAACAATATTGTTTAAAGAAATATATGTGTCTGATAACAAACGCAAGTGTACATAATAGGATAAAATGAAAATAAATTCCTGTATCCCACTGCACTTAGTCTACTCTTCAGACATAACCATTGTCAAGAGCATTTTTGCTTGTACAACAATAGGATCATCTTTTCAGGTTTTACAGCTTTCTTGGTCACTGAGCAGGAGATCATGATATCGGGGTTTACATCATTCCTTTCAGTGACTGCATAACATTCCATTATATAAATGCAACTTCCTTCATTTGTCCATTTCTCCTTGGATAAACCTTTCACTGCACCATGAATGTTCTTAGCTTCTATCACTAAGGTTAGTATTCATTTTTAAGACTTCCTGAGTTGATAATCTCTTAGGATTGAAAAGATCTCTTTGGGGCTTGATTCAGAAATTTCTCCCTAACACTGTTGGTCACTATCACATGAGTTAATTGGTAGAGGTGGATTAAAAGCCTTTCTGGGAATAGTATTCTGCTAACAATCTCTGGGAAAGTTAATGGTAACTACCATGTCATCCCTCTAAAAGTCCCCGGTGCAGACTAGAGTGGGAAGACTTGGCAAGGTTTCAGAGTCAGAGAAGAGCTTTGAATCCCTATGGGTCTAACTCCAGTGATGTGTGAAGGAGAATTCTCAGCCTGTGTTCTTTCTGACTGTCCTGAGCTTTGCAAGCCTCACCATGTTATGACTCCTCCCACTCAGATCTCAATGGCTGGTAGTAGCAGATAGATATGCAAATATGCATTGAGTACCCTTGAGGATATGCAATTTGATTGAAGAGCCTTTAAAATCTGAGGTCTTGTAGTTGTAGACTTCAAAGAACCTTAGTAGTTACTGTACAACTGGAATATCTTTAACTTAGGTCTTTAATGGTAGTAAAAGTAAGTTACGGAACCACCTACTGTCTGAGTAGGATGTAGAATTCTTTACATTAAACCTACAAGATACCAGGAATTTAGAAAATAGTAAAACAAATCATGAATTTAACAAAAATTTGATTAATAGTGGCATGTTGAAATAAGATTCAGGAGAAAAGGATATTTTAGGAAGTTTTTGGGGTTTTGTTGTTGTTTTGTTTTGTTTTGGATTAAAATTGAGCCAAAATTGTACATCTTCTAGAAGTATAGACTGTCAAGGCTACTTACAAGGGCCTTTACAGTTCCTTGAGTCTGTGATGAAGGAGATGAAAATACCTGTCACTTCTTGAGCATGTACTGTATATTCAGTACAGTGCGGAGTTTGACTAAAATCTCTGTCTTTATTGTCACAATTACTTTGCTAGATAGGTATTATTGTCCTCATTTTTCAGATGAAGAAACATCAAGGGAATATTAGATTTTCATGAATCAAAACTTTTAAATATGTTGTCTGTAAAAGTAAATGGTACCAGATCTAGTATTTTCTCTGTACCTTATGCCCATAGGAGAATGGATTTTGAATTAAAATGGGACCCAATCAGCATGCTACCAAATTTCCTGGGCGTATTCCTATTATTGCTTGTGAATAAAACATTGCTCCTTAATCTGAAGAGTGATTACTCTAAATATCTTTTTTTTTTTTTTTTTTTTTGGTTTTTCTCTGGTACCGGGAACCGAACTCACGACCTTGCACTTGCCAGGCAGGCGCTTTTGCCACTGAGCTAAATTCCCAGCCCCTGTTCTAAATATCTTATCAAAGAGTTTTCTGTGTGTGTGAAAGAAGCTTCTGTGTCTGTGGTTAGAATTTAGCAAGAAGTGTGGGCTCTGAAGTAAAATCAGTGTGGTGATCTAGCTCTGCCATTCATGCTGGAAGATCTTGAAAAACTGAATATTGCTATATCTAAATTTTCTCATCTATGAAATAGGTAATAAAAGAACTGACAGCATAAGGTGGTTATGATTATTAAAAAGATAACAACTATAAAGCAAAACAAAACCTGAGAAATAATGTTCAAATAAGCTGTTCCCTTAATAAGCCAAGTTCCTTCTAATTCACTGTAGAAATAAGAATGGTGACATCTCTGGATTGTCTTATTCTTCAGAAGTGGGTAAAATAGCACAAACCCAACACACCAAGACAAACATTGGGACTTGAACACAAATACTGCAATGTCACCATTGCGGAACTCAGTGCTGCACTTGTTACTGGATGGAGGATCATTCACTCTGAGGATCCACTTACAAAGTCAACCAAGAGCAAGGGTCTCCTTAAATTTCACATCCTAGGTGCCCCCAGCCCTGGTCTTTACCAGCATCTCTGAAATAGACAACTCTTTAAGAAAAGCTCCTTTGCAGTTTGTCTTTTCTTTTGAACTATGATGGGGGAGAGGAAGAAAGGGAAAAAAAAATATGTATTTATACACAAGATAGTTAAGACAGTTATACAGTTAGTTTGTCTTAGTTCACTAAAAAGAAAGCTTTGTGCTAACATTAGACAAGATATCATGCCTATATCTCATACTCTGAATAAATACTACAAAGACAACAAAATACACAATATATTAATTATTGTAATTCTCCTATTAACCTGTTCTGAAACTCTGTTTTATTGTTATTTTTATTTTTTTCCACTTTAAAATAAAAAACAAAGAAAAGAAAAGCACCAGAATTACTCAGGGCTGCTTTCCTTTCTGTCTTAGGTGTCCAAATACAAAATCCTAAATCTAAATTCTAAAGCTCAGGGCAAAGTATTAATGCAGTGGTCCTCTGCATTCAGCGCCTAGTTGGATATTCTCACTCCTGGGAGAGTGTATGTGTTTCAGAAAAGGAAAAGATGAAGATACCAGATTAAATGTCACTTGTAGACCCTGAGTACAAAGGATTCCTCCCAGGTGACTCCTTATCTGTCCATCTGTAGTTTAGGTAGTGACAGCACTAATCACGCTGCCAGAGAGGGAGATACCCAGTACCCACATGTTGTCTTCTGGCTCTTTTCAGTTGTACTTTGTCCACTGATATGTTCAATTCATTTTGATTGTGTTTGTCCTTTTTTGGTTACCTGATATAAAATCAGTCGGTTTTCTGCATTTGTGCTTACCTTTCTCCTTTAAACTTTGAACAGATGTGGTTGACGTCTATTTCATCTAGAGTTTCCTTCAAGTGTTCAGAACTTGTGCTCTTTAACACATTTGTGTGAGTTTTACAGTTGTATCCCCTTGCCACATGGATTTATGGATCCCTGAACAGTTGTAGTTACCACCATGTACTCTGCTTTTGCTTTTGGTTCCCAGCCACACTCGGAGGGCCCATAACCAATGGCCTTACAGCTAGTATCAGCAAGGCTGCTCTCCACAATAAACAGATCCAAAGAGATTTCTAAATGGACTCTGAAGGAAACGTTCTGCAGTTTTTTGCTTAAAGAAAACAGCATGAGATAATCAGGTTGGCTTCAGCTTCAGGAGAAAAAGCAAGTCCTATGTGATTGTCAATCTGTGTCCGAGCATTTCCTGAACTTGAGAATATGCAAGCATATGTGTTGGGGATGGTGCTAATGGTGCGTTATAAACCAACCCCATGGGAGAGGATACCTCTCCCAGAGAGGTCTAGATTTCGCCATAAACAGTGAAAGGCCATCATGCTTGCCTGGACTCCTACACCACTGGTTGCTGTCATGTATTTTCTAGGTTAACACTAGGTGCCTACTGCCTTATTTTCACAAGCGCAGTTTGATAGCTCAATGTTGGATTGAAAGGTCTCATCATCTGTAGCTAATAGAAAATAGCATTTTAAAGTGATCTAAATATAATTAGTTATAAAACTCTTAACTAAAAAAAATAAAAGAAAGAAAAAATGGCTACAACTTAGTATGTGTTTCAGAAAGGGAAAAGATGAAGATACCAGATTAAATGTCACTTGTAGACCCTAAGTACAAAGGATTCCTAGGAGAAAGGTGCTGAGCTAAAAAACTAATTTATAAAAGTGTATTTTTCTCTCACTTCAGCGAACCCTTGTGGGCTCTACTGCCGACCCATAGATGGCCAGTTTTCCGAAAAAATGCTGGATGCTGTCATTGATGGAACCCCTTGCTTTGAAGGTGGCAACAGCAGAAATGTCTGTATTAATGGCATGTGTAAGGTATTGGGTATGTTTCCTTAATCTACAACTTTATAAACTCATGGTTTTTGTTATTATAAGAAGTCAGATGTTCTAAGCTTATGTTTTCATGGCATTTGCATGTGATCTGGTTTTTATATATGACCTGAGAGACAAGACTTCTTAGTGTCGTCAAAAACACAGTTTTGTTTTTTTTTTTTTGGTTTTTCTCCGGTACCGGGAACCGAACTCATGACCTTGCGCTTGCCAGGCAGGCGCTTTTGCCACTGAGCTAAATCCCCAGTCCCAAAAACACAGTTTTGACCAGAATAGCGTTTCCTTCCTTCTGTCACTTTCATTTCCTAATTTGTTGATACTCACTATGATATTATACTAAGCATTAAAGTAGAGTCAAATTGAAGAACCAAACTAAAGGAGGAATTATAGGGAGAGACATCCCAGATTATCTCAGGATCATTAAATTTGAGAAAATCTGAGATTAATAATAGTTCGTATAGTGTTTTCCACAAAGCATCTTAATATTTAATTCTTCACTGATTGTCAACACTACCTTTGTAGAGAGACAGAATGACAGGTAATTAGAATCCTGGGGTCTATGTGACTTTTCTATGTTCATGCCTTTGATCATCTCCATCTTTATATAAATCATTTAGACCCAGTATATTAATGCTTTAAAGTATAAAACCATTAAAGAATTCCTTCTTATTGCTTGCAGTTTATTTTGCAAGGAACAGAGGAACAAATCTTCTGATCTGATCCCTGGGGGTAAATTTCAATTTAAAGAGGTGTTAAAGGAAAACTGTATAGTAACACCTACTTGTTAGTAAACTTTAATAGTTTGATGCTGGGGCTCCAGACTATAAAATCAGGGCCATCATTTACCAGCTCTATGGTCCTGCACATCTTTGTAAGACTCAGTTTTCTGTCATAAAATTGGTATGTAAATGTATCTACATAGTAGGCATTGTCAAAAAGATTAATAAGGTCATATATTTAAGACCATTGAGAAAAACCCTAGTGTGCAATAAACTTAATTCATTTTGTTTCTGCAAAAATGTACCACCATTTTTTCCCTACTGAACAGAGTGACCCCCATGTGATCCCTATAAAGGTTCAGTATACTGGGAAACTGTATTTAACACCTTAGAGTTATTTTTCTGTTTACTTGATGAGTAACCAAAAGAATAAGAGGCAAGATGATGATTTCCAGGTACAAATGACCTAACAAAAGCCGTAATTTGCCGTGGATATAGCTCTGTGGTGCAAGTGCCTGCCTTAGAAGTGCAAGGTCCTGAGTTTGATTCCCAGTACAAAAAAAAAAAAAAAAAAAAAAAATGTTTACCAAAAGGGCATAATCAGACTCTAAACTTTAAAAACCTCAGGCAAATTTTTCTGTTAAATCAACTAATTATCATTGTAGCTACAGAAAGCCAAAAATAACATATAATGGATTAGGTCTCTTTCTGAGAGAGGGAAGGTGGGTATCTACATAATTCAGATCAAAACAACTCCAACCCTGTCTAAAGCAATGGTTTTCATTTTTGGCTACACCTTAAAATCACCTGTAGAGCTTTAAAAACTGCTTACTTCTGGCTCCTATCTTAAACCTATTAGTTCAGATTCTCAGGGGATGGGGGTATAAACATTAATATTTTAAAATCTTCCCAGTTATTAGTGGATGGAGTTAGGGCTGAGAACTGTAGTCACAGAGAACTGAATGTCAAACTGAAATCATCTTCTACTTTTTATTATTACATGTGTGCAGGACACAAGGACTACATCCATTGTGGGGAGTTGGTACATGCACATAGCACATCCTGATTCTTTTATATTGCTTCACCTCTTCTCCCTCCCGCTTTCCTCCATCTCTTGGTCACTTTCCCTCTTGCAAAAGATCTGCCTTCCTGTTTCCTATTACCAATATCTACACTTTGTTTTGCTCTTTATTTACACTTTAGACCTAAGTATTGTTACCTGTGTAAAGACAGCATCATTAGCTTGCATTGGAAAACCAGTGCAAAATATAGTGGGTCTTGGGTATCTCTATTGAAATCAATTAAATGAACTTAATAAGATAATCCAGATTCTCTCTGGTTGCCATTCTCTTCCTTGGACTTGGTGAAGGCCCTTAGAAGCTACAATTGCCCACTTTTGTCTATTATACACTGGGTTAAATTGTTAAGTTCAAAAAATGATGTCAAATAAAAATATACCTAATATCTTATATTCGACTTATGTTTCCAAGATTCAGGTTATTGGGTTTTCAGCCTTCTTAGTCTCCCTATGTATTTATTATGTTTTCAAAAATAAAATTAAGCATGTATTGAAAAAAGATACATCTTTAAAGGTGTATATGATATTTTTTTAATCTACTTTCTTTTGGGAAGTAAAACGAAGTGTTCAAAAAGTATTATTTATTATTACCATGAGTTCATTCAACCCTGAAAATACACACTGGAAACACGTGGGAGGCATGAAGGGAAGAACAAGGCCACAGACATGACAGACCTGCTTTATCATGGAGCTTTAACTCTATCCTTAGGGGATGGGATCCTCAAAGGGTTAAAGAGAAAGATGATGTAAGAGTTTTGAATATGACTTTGGAAAACCACAGAGAGCTTCTCTGAATTAGTTTCTCCATCCTAAATGGGAAAAATAAGTCTGTGTAGGCTTCTTGGGGCTGCCATAAAAATTTGGCATAGACTGGGTGGCTTCCAACAAAGAAATGTATTTGCTTGTAGTTCTGCAAATGACCAGTCTAAAATTGAGTTGTCAGCAAAGCCTCAAAAGGCTTTGAGAACCAGCTGTCCCTTGATTCTTCCTAGCTTCTGGTAGTTGCTGACAATCTTTGACATTCCCAGCTTGTAACCACATCATTCCAATTTCTACCCTTATCTTCACAATGGCTGTCTTCCCTCTGTGTGTGTCCCTCTCCAAATCTCTCTTTATCAAGACACAAGGTATTGGATTTAGGGCCACCCTAATCCAGCATGACATCACCCTAGTTTGATTACATCTTCAGAGAGCCTATCTTCCAAATCATAACACATTCACAGGTTTTCAGGGGACAGGACGTCAGTGAATCTTTTGAAGGGATGGACCTCAATTCACAGTAAGTTCCAACCCTGAAAAAATTATGTTGAGGAAAGCCTTATACAACCATCCCACTCATTAAGTGGCAATATCATTTCCCTTTCAGCTAAGCATAGCTCTGTCTTGTGTTCACATTTAAAGTTTCATTGGCTGGGAATGAATCTCATCTTAGAACAAGCGTCTTTCTAGTCTCTCCTTTGGTAAGGAAAGAAGTAGTAAATTCCAGGTCAATTAGGTCATGGTAACCGATAAGATTTCAGTTCTCAGTTGCTTTAATGTTTTCAGACTAAAATAATGTTGGAGAAAGGGGGAGTGGACACTTAGTATGAATTAATACTACTTACCCATTTCTGAAGCGCGAAGTCCCTGATGAAAGTTTCAAAACTGATTTCCCTAAGTAGTACTCAAGATGGAATGCTTTTCAGTGCAGTTTTTTTCAGGGTCAAGAATTAATGATACCATGGGAAATGGGAGCTTTTATTTTTTAAAAAATGCTGCCCTTTGAGGAAGTGGCTGATCTCTAGAATCACAGGAGCCAATCTGAGGTCAGAACCCACATTTAGTAGAAGCAGTAACACCACCTCTGAATCCACCAAAAACAGAAAGTCTACATTGTCAGGAAGGAAAGGAAAGGAAAGGAAAGGAAAGGAAAGGAAAGGAAAGGAAAGGAAAGGAAAGGAAAGGAAAGGAAAGGAAGGAAAGGGGAAAAGGGAAGAGAAGAGAAAGAAAGGAAAAGAGAAAAGAGAAAAGAAAAGAAAAGAAAAGAAAAGAGAGAAAAGAGCTACCCTGTTGTGAACTCTGTTGCCAGAGCATGTATTGTGAAACCAAAGAGTGAAATCTATTTCTTTTGCACTAAGACCTTTTATGTTCTAGCGGAACAGGGAGGATTGGCTTATCCCTCGCAGCCTTTTTGTTATACACTTAATTCGGTTTGATTTTATTCTGTACAGCTTCCAGAGGAAATAAATTGGGTCAGGTTTCCATAAGTACCTATTCAACATGTGGCAAGATAGCATAGTGAGGATATATGTGTGTTTCCACCCCCCCAACCCTTGATCCCAGTTATGTGGGCTAACACTGCTAAAGAAACAGGACCACCCACTTAGAAGAAAGATGAAATTTAGGGATTTATTTTCTGGCTTTCTTTCCTTTATTTTTCATATTTTAAATCTATCTCTCTCTTGGTAGAGATTAAAGAAGATACGTTAAAATTTATATGTCTCAGAGTAATTTTCCAAATCAGTGAAAAGAATGAAGATCACTGGGAATAGGATTTGTAAAGGTCAGCTTATTAGAAGATGCTCAAGCTTAATGTAAACACATCACTTGTGGAGAGTTAGCATTGTACTCATAACTACTGCAAGAACTTATCCAGGAAATGTTTTCTTTCTATTTTGATTAATATAATTAAGATTTGGCTTTCAAGAATTTCTTAGCACTCTATTTTTTCCCCCTCAGTGGTCAAGTGGCACAGTCTTTGTACTCACAGGAAATTAAAGACAGTTAACCTGAAAAATTGAGCTACTTTCTTCCCAATGGGCATTAATTCTATGTTTTAGCTGGCAGAAGGTATAAAGATTCAAGCCATTCTTACTTTCAATACATTGGAAGTAACCTTAAGATTAGAAAGAAAACTATCTTTGAACCCAGGCATGGTGGGGCACACCTATAATTCCAACACTCTGGAAAATTGAGGAAAAGGGATCACAAATGGGAGACTACCCTGGGCAACTGAGTAACTTAGCAAAACCTTCTATCAAAATAAAACACACAGAAAAGGGAATTAGGATGTAGCTCATTGTGAAGGTCCTGGCTTCAATCTTTAGTATGAAAGAGAAGAAAGGAAAGAAGGAAGGAAGGAAAAAGAGAAAGAGAGAGAGAGAGAGAGAGAGAGAGAGAGAGAGAGAGAGAGAGAGAGTAATATTCTACCATAAAAAGGATAAACTTGAGTCATTTGTAGAAAAAAATGGCTACATTTTGAGACCATAATGTTAAGAGAAATAAATCAGACACACAAGCTTAAATATCACATGGCTTCTCCCATATGTGAAACCCAAAATATAAATAAATTAAAAAGCAAAATAAAAGATAATAGGAAACAGGGAGATAAATCTTTTAGAAAAGGGAAGCAAATTGAGGTAGAGGAAGAGAAAAGGGATAAAAAGGAATAAAGGTGTGTTATGTACATGTACCAATTCTATATGAGTGAAATCACTATGAACTGTAAATATGTACTAATACAAATAAAAATTAATGAAAGAAGGGAAATTATCTTTGAGGAGAAAAGGAACCTCTGTGGGTATAATTCTTCTTCCCAAGCAGGAAAGAGAATTATGACTAAAGGAATATGGTGTGTTTTTCCATGTAACTGTGGGAGAAGGTGCGCAGTGGAGAAGTTTAATTGATTTTCCATCTATGTTTCATGACTTCCAACCTGGATGTTGTGATGCTTTGGGACCCAGTGAGACAGAAAACTCCAAGTTTCATCACACCCTTTATTTCCAGCTGGAATTTTAGAATGGGGAAGACTTGGCCATGTGAACACATGGGCGGGAAAGTGGAGAGGGAAAGATAATGATTCAGGAGGACCTCTGAACAGAACCCTTACTATGCATTACATCCAGAGCAAAGGAATAAAATGTGTTTTTGTCTAGAAGAGAAAGACATTTTTTTTTGCACTTGGAGGGAGGGAGGTAAGGATGAGTGGGATATGTTTAAGTGCATGGAGGGTAGGGGTATGGGAGGCACCAAAGTGTCTGAAAATAGGTCAGGGTCAGAGAATTCCTCCCTCATGGGACCAGCATCATCTCAACATTAGGCCGATTTCCTCCAGTGGTTGTTGGTTTACTACTAATCTGAGACAGAAACTAGAAAGAATAACTCCAACAAGGAATGCAAAGGGATTGAACAACCAAGTTATAGATGGAATAGCTATAACATCCACTGGACAATCTCTGCAGATAGGAAAGAGTGTGAGGTTTGAACATCTGAAGAGACTTGCTGCTCCATCAACTCCAATTCCAAGACATTTTTAAAGTTAAGTCTTTCTGTGTTTGATTCTGCCTCTTGCTGTTCTGAGGAAGTACGGTCACCCCTCTGGGTCCATATGCTCTACATGTGTGAAATATAACCAACCTCAAGTAGAAAATAGTTGAAGAAATGTATCTTACTGAATGTGTACAGACTTTTTCTTCTTGTTATTCCTAGATAATACAGTGTAACAACCATTTACATAATATTTACATTTTATTGGGTATCAAAGAGATCTAGAGATGGTTTAAAGTAATAGGAGGATGTAAAGAGGTTATGTGCAATGCTATGCCATTTTATATAAAGGACTTCAGCATCTGCAAATTTTGGTATCCTTGAACAAATCCCTGTAGATATGGAGAGGTGACTTTATTTCCCTTACAATTGGTGGACGCTTTTGTAATTCCTCTGCCTGCCAATGGGTAAAGGAAATAACTGTTTGTCCTTTACCTTTGCACTTGCCCACTCAAGCTTATTAAGCACAAAGAGGCAAAGGACAAGCCATAGACCAAGGAAGGTGTGGCACTTCTGACCTGTGTCATTCATCTTCCTCTTTCTTCTGCGCAGATGGTCGGCTGTGACTATGAGATCGATTCCAATGCCACAGAGGACCGCTGTGGTGTGTGCCTGGGAGACGGCTCTGCTTGCCAGACTGTGAGGAAGATATTTACACAGAAAGAAGGATCTGGTAATTGAAAAATAAATCATTAAAGTAGTAGAGAACTTAGACTACAGTGTCAGAAAAATAACTGATTGATTCCTAATTTTTATTTTAAAAACCAGTTTATAATTTTCAAAATTGCATATACACTCACTAACGAAAGAATATGAGCTCCTTGGCCGCTTTGGGAAAAGGATTGATTGCAAAGCAAATACAGGTGGGATCACACTGACATAGAGATCAGAATTGGTCTGGTGTGGCCAGTACTGGTAACAGTGATGAGAGCGAGATACATGGGAGAGGATCCTCTTCGGGAATAGGCATCACAAGAAGATCTTGGGCAAAATGTTATTGAAGCAGACCAAGAACTAGGGGAACATAGAAGCCAAAAAATGTGTCCAAAGGATGTAGACACAAGGCACAAGACCTGGTTCTCTGTGTGAGAGGAGATAAACCAGCAGTAGATTTGAAGACAAAAGGGTTGAGGTATAACCTTAGGGCCAGCTGTGGGAGAAGTAAGGTGTGATTACTTCAGTTCTGTCTTCTTTTCTTTCTTTTTTCTTTTTCTTTTTTTTTTTTTGTACCAGGAATTGAACTCAAGACCTTGCACTTGCCAGGCAGGCACCATGCCACTGACTACATCTCTGGCCGCTCTATCTTATTTTCAATTGTTCCCTGCAAGTGCATTCCACTCAGCGGCTCCTAAAGACTCTCAAGGCAGTTCTTCTACCTACCATCTCCCTTTTTATCCACACTTTACTATTCTCTTCCTATAAACGCCCTTCATGAAATTCCTTCTTTGTGTAGCCTTGAGCTACCAACAATCCTAGGGGAGTGAAGAGTCTACCCTCACCCCAAATCAGTATGACCCTGTACAGATCTGCCTTCAGTTAAATGAGTATTTATAGTCCTATAGAGCTGGGGTTTGGGAAAAGAGCTAAGTTAGCCCTGGAGATGATGAAGACAACTCAGGGTACCTTGGTTTGGGTTTCCACAAATACACCCTGAGAAAAGAACTCAGGTATGAATATTTGGGGGACAGGAGGTCTTGGGAAATACTAAGAGGGTGTTAAAGAAGTGAAAGGGGGGTAGGAATGCAGCCAGCAAAGGATGTGTCATCACCCAGTGGCCACTGTACAAGAGCTAGTGCAGAACTCACCCAGCCTAGTCTTCCCACCTGAAGAGTTCAGGAGCGGGATGGTACAACCACTCCTGTTACTCATGAATGGAGGATGCTATAGGAGAGCAGCATTGCCAGTTCTCTGGATTCTGTAGAAATGCAGATGTTGGGAATTGGGAATGGAGTGTACAGTACAGCAGTAGGGCCTGGGAGAAAGATGCCAATAACCCAGAACTAGCATGGAGTGACTGGAGGTATTTGGAGGTTAAGTGGAGGAGATTTAGGGAAGACAGCTCTTGTTTTCTAAGTAGTTACATAATGTGGGAAGCACAGCCCATCAGAAGCCAAGGGAAGGAATCCCTATTTTATCCCTACAGATAAAAACTGAGGTTAAATGCAGAAAAATATGATTAAGAGTGAATTTTTAAGAAAATAAGACCATCTCTAAATAACAGAAAATAATTACAAAATGCCTTTATAAAGATCACATCTATATGGCATCTATTACTGAGAGGTAACCTCCAGGACGGGAAGATACAACCAGTGTTGGATATGGTGGGGCACAGTTGACCTGAGTCTTGGCAAAGCAATGCCTTTCTCCTAGACATGCTTGAGGATGAAATTACTAAGTAGAAGCCCAAGAGTATCAGGTTTGTCCTTCAATTTATTCCATGGTCTATTGCTCCCTAGCCAGCATAACAGTGAATCATTTAAATTTGTTCAAATTCCATCCTTATTTTTTTCATCTTTGGCTATTGTACTACTAAGGTTAAAGTTTGAAATTGAATTCTCATCCTGCCCTTTATTACATTAGTGTATATTAGTTATACAGAACAATTAGTTTTTATTTTAGAATTATCATTGGAATGTTGTATTTCCTATTCTTGATTGATAGGTTTATTGTGGATAAAAGATATCTGACTTGTTTGCTAGAGATATAAGTGAGAATCCAGCATGTCTAAAGTTTATAATTAAGCATTTTAATGTGGCTAGGGGCTTGTGATCTTTATAAAGGCATTTTGTAATTATTTTCTGTTATTTAGAGATGGTCTTATTTTCTTAAAAATTCACTCTTAATCATATTTTTCTGCATTTAACCTCAGTTTTTATCTGTAGGGATAAAATAGGGATTCCTTCCTTTGGCTTCTGATGGGCTGTGCTTCCCACATTATGTAACTACTTAGAAAACAAGAGCTGTCTTCCCTAAATCTCCTCCACTTAACCTCCAAATACCTCCAGTCACTCCATGCTAGTTCTGGGTTATTGTTTCTCTGCCCATTTGTCTTTGGGAAGAGAAAAAGGGATAAGTAGGGGATTGAACCTCTCTCTTATCAACACCCACCTCAGAAAGCTCAGTGCCACATGCCACCGCCACACTTGACATGTCCTTGTGCCTTTGTTTCTAGTTCTCCTTTTCATGTTTGCTACTCCTAGGGCTTCTGGTTCTGCTTGACAACCAGGGAGTAGTGTTGGCTTTAGACTGTTCTGTCCTGACAGTTTTCTCAGAGCTCTCTAACCCTGCCATCCCAGCACACTGGAAAAGTCAGAGAGTTTTTTTTTACTCTGAACTGCACTATCTAATAAGGATGTCTGTGTCCCTTCGACTCACAGGGTACTCTACAGATCCCACCTTTGCTTCGTAATTAATGAAGTTAGATTAAAAAAAATAGACCCTGGGAACCACCATCTCCCCATGCAAACAAGACCAAGAAGTAATGCAAAATATTATGTCATGCAGTTAGATTGCATGGAATAGTTGAGTGATATGAAATCCAAAATAAAAGGATTTACTCTTGCCTCTTGGAAGATATCTCACGTGCAATTCTTCAACTTACCTTCATGTTATCTTATATTGCTGCCTTAGCTCACCTCATGCTTCACTCATTTTCTCCAATACAACTGTTAATTGAAACTGGAATTTTCTTTCAGCTTTTATCTCCATCCCACTTGACTCCAAGTTCTCTGAGTTCATATTATTGTGTTTATATAAATTATAGTAAAAAATTCTTAAAATTGATCCCACATTTCTTTGAAGATAAAAAGACCAAGTCAGTAACTATCCTATAGTTATGCTAAGGGAATATCTGAGTCAGATATCTTTCTCCTTGATGTTCTGCTCAGGTTTAGTTATAGTTATAACTGTTTTGTAACATGAGCTCTTATAGGTACTGATCGCTTTCTGATTCTGGCCCCAAATTAAAACCTTGTCATTCTCTGTTAACCTGTGTCCTAAAATATTCTTTTCTCCTCACCTCTCCACCCAGAGTCACATTTTCTGTGGTGGGTGGCAGTGGATTAGTTCAGTGATGCATGTTGTAACTCTGTCTCCCTTGTCAAGAAAGCATTACACTTGCCCTCAAGGGTCCTTGGCTTATTGTAGGCCCTTATGGTGAATTTTTCCAGAACAAGTATGTTTTTGTACCTAGTTACATGAGAGGGAAGGGCTATGATTCTTTGAATATGGCTTTGTTATTCCAGAGCTCATTCATCAGATCCTCAGGGCTTTATCTCTGTTTATAGCTATGATATTGAAAGAACCCAGTATCTCCTTATGGAGGGAATAAGCAGCTATCTGGTAACCTCAAAAATCAATGAACTGTGAGAACAGGTGCAGGCTGGCTGTGGTGGCAAAGTAACCTCTGTGACTAAGAAATAAAAGGAATGTGGGGTTAATCTTTCAGAAGAATTAAAAAGTCCTTCAAACTTTGCATGACCAGACAGATCCATTCCTTCTATCAGTGTTCTTCTTTTCCTGTGAATGGTTACTTTGGCTCACAGGTCTTTTTAACAAAATGATTTATAAAAAGAATTGTAAGGGACAGAGTCTGCACTTAAAATGCCCACTGTGGACAGACCTGTGGAGGAGCTTTCCCCTCCCGCTTCTCCTGGCTGGAGGAGTTATAGCTATTGCTACTGACTTTTGCTATGGAAGCATGAAATATTGGTCAAACTCTATTATATTTTTCTGTAAGTGCTCTTTAAAAAAGAGAAAGATGTTATGGAAGTAAAATAAGCCTAGAGGCAAAGGACTAGGTCCTTGTCTTGATGACTGCTGGTTTTAGGGAAGTCGCCCCTCAACTTTGGAGGACCCTTCTGATCCTGAGGGAAATCTTTGGTCTTCCCCCTCGTGACAGCCTGTGGGATGATTGTGTCAGTGGATATTTAAGGGTTGAAATTGGGAAGAATTTCCAGGAGAAGGTGTCTGTATCTGTAGCCTCCTTGGAATTCTCCAACAACTAAGTTTCTGTCTTTCTTTATAGAAATGAAATCCATTTAGTACATTTAATATCTTATACAAGATAAGACCATCTTGACCTTTGGATTGTCATAGATGGCTTTGATCAGGTTAAGGTAGAGGCCATCTATTCCTATTTTCTGTAGAGTTTTTATCATAAATGCATGTTGGACCTTATTGAAAGCTTTTTCTGCATCTATTGAGATGATCATGTGGTTTTTGTCTTTGGCTCCATTGATATGGCGTATAACATTTATAGATTTGCGAA